TCAAACCTATATTTCCCACAGTGATTCAGACTCAGACCACAAGCCGACTCCAGATTTGTAATTTACCCCTTCGATTATTAGGCCTTTTGCAATTTTGAAACCCTACAACATGTATTTGCATAAAAAAAAACTAAGATAAGGATCATTAAACCGAAGTGGGTTATATGAATGTCAAATCGAAGATGGGGGTTCTCTGAAAATCTAAGAAAGAGGCATAATCCCTAAAATTTTGAAAAAATAAAAATATTGTACCTGAAGAGTAAGAGTCGATGTCACAACGATTGGGTTATTCGGCCTGTGCTGCTGGAAGAGGGTGGAAGAGCTTCAGTCTTCTGCGAAGGTGGAAGAGCTTCAGTCTTCTGCAAGGGTGGAAGAGGGAGTGAGGGCTTGAGGTGGGTTGGAACTGAAGATACGTGTATGGATCTGTAATGATATTAAACGACGTAGTTTTTCAGTATTTTATTAAATAAAATAACTTTATATATTATAATTTTTCTCTTACAAAAGCGTCAAATAAGGAATTAAGCGCCAAGTTTTGCCGCACTATTTTTTTTGGAATTGGGGATGGGCTATTTAAGGTTTTAGGGACAGTTTAAAAAGACCATGCCAAAAAAGAAGGTTTTAGGGACAATCTAAAAAGATCGTGCCAAAAAGAAGGTTTTAGGGACAGTCTAAAAAGACCGTGCCAAAAAAGAAGGTTTTAGGGACAGTTTTAAAGACTGTCCCTAAAGGACTGTCACTAAAACCCATATTTCTTGTAGTGGGTTATGGGTCAAGATGGTGGCCATGGTAGAGTAGGAACAAATTTGAAGGTATTTGAGATATTAAACAAATGGATGGTGGCGGTAATAGGAAGAACAAAGATATGGAGAAGATATAAATTCTTATCAAATCTGAGAGAGAATTTCACAAAGGGAAAGAGATGCGATAATTTTTATAGGGAGAGGGAAAAAAAGGATTGCACAGAACTATGAAAGAATAAATTCAGAACCCAAATCAGAGAAAGAGAAAATGAATAGAATTTTCGAGAGAAAAGTGAAACGATAGAAACTTAGAGAGAGAACGTAAAGGAGAAACATTAAGGATATACTTGTCATTTATTAAATAATTATTTTTTGAAAACTGTTTAAGTAGATGAGGTGGACAAAAATACATCAAATTTGGTGCTTATTCGGGGTTAATTCTTCGGTCTTCATATCATTATTCTTCAATAAATAAGAAATCAATCTAAATTAGAGGACTTGTGAACCTTGGGAGACGCACAAATCACCCTCCAAATATGGCAATTAGGTTACAACAATCTCTCTCCCCAAGTTTAATTCTTCTCACGCCATAAAGAGGAGCACACCCCTCGAAATGTCCCTCCACTCTCCATTAGGCCTAAGATCACCATCATCAACCATCGCTCCTCCACTGGTGCCACCATCGGTGCTGGCCATGACATCATAATATCAATAGCTAAAACCACCTCACAAAAACCTCATCGCCGTCCACTGGGTTCAAATAACAAACCCAACAGTCTTTGTATCTTCATTTGATTACTTTTATATTGTGGAATCAGTGAAAACTATATTTTTTTATTTTTTATTTTTTATTTTTTATTTTTATATATGTTGTTAGCTATAGGGTTTCGAATAGGGATTATTACATATAAATGATGTACTAATGACCTATATTTATCATTTGATGGAGTCAAAAGTCTCATAGTTTAAAAAAAAATGAGGTTGACCAAAATGTTTATGTGGACATGGAAAAATACTATTCCTTCGCCTTTGTGTAAGCAGGTACCACTTTTTGTTTTAAGCATAGAGGTACCACTTTTTGTGCACGCATGTACAATTTTTTTGTACAGCATAAAAGTGGAATCTGATGACAAAAAGTGGTACCTGCATGCAAAAAAAAGTGGTACCCATGTGCCTAAAAGTGGTACCTATTGGCAAATAAACAATGTTTTTTTATGTCTAAGTCATCATTTTGGTCAACTTCATTGTTTTCGAAACTATGAAATTAATTTTGACTTTATTAAATGGTAAATATGGACCATTAACACCATTTATATGTAATAATCCCTTTTGAATACTAGGGCTAGTTAGTGTTTTGATTGTAAACTAATCTCTTCACTGGTTAACATAAGATATTGTTTGGAAATTGAATTTGCATGTGTAAAAAATGTGGAAGAAATGAAAAAGGGGGTTTTTTTTTTTTTTTTTTTTTTCCCATTTTCTTTTTCTTGGACTTAAATCTTTGTCAGCCTAAATTTATGAATACCGTACTTAATTTATGAATTCTGGTATAATTTCAATTGAAAAACCCAGATGAAAGAATTTTTATAACTAAGTCACATGATCTAAGATCGTGTTTCGTTTCTCTACTAACCCAATATTGGCTTCTTCTTCTTCATCTTGGTATAACTGTTGCGAGCTAGGTGTTTGCACCCTAAAATAAAATTTTATGTTCGGCCACTTAATAATACTCTTGAGTAAAATCAGAGTGAAAATGTCTATGTGTTGGTCGGTGAAGGGCTGAATCAATATTTGTAAGGTGCCAAACCTATGAGGGGTCGAAATTTAGTGGCCGATTTACAATAGCAATCAACCCCTATTATGAAATAACGATTACCAGTAATAATCAGCACTCTCAGTCAGCCAAAGTGATTAACAGAGTTTTTAGAAGACAAAGAACACATGGGCATGAGGTGTTGAAACTAGCACGTGGCAGAAAGTGCTGAAGAAATATTGTTTTCACCTTAAAATTATTCGGCCACATGACGTTGATTGATTTGGAAAAAGGTTTGATTTAGCCACCTGGTGTTTAGTGATTGGAAGATTAGTTTTGTTACAATTGGTTGTAGCAACAGAGGATTATTCCAAGTTAAGATCTATCAGTGGAATTTAATTTTACATGTGGTGATTTATTAATTAATTTGTCCACTTGGCAAATATGCAAGAGGTTAATTCAAGAGAAGGATGCCACGTCATTGAAGGATTGAGTTCCATATACTGGGTGCCACATATAGATTAAAAGAACACATACCTTTGAAGTAGATATGGATAAGGTTCAGACAAAAGAGGTTCGAATTCAAATATAGTATTTGAATTTGAAAAGAAGTCTCCACTGCTGAGAGCAACTGCCGCTGAGTTATTCTATAAATAGCACCAAGGGGGGCCTTGTGCAAAAGGTCCCCAACCAACACAAATTCTGCATTATTTTTCTTACAATGTAGCCTTTAGACTTAGTATTTTTCTTGCATTGTACTTCTTTTTCCTTAGGAGTAGTGCTGTTAGAATCCAATTATTGACCTGTATCACTAGTGTAAGAATTTCACTTATAAAATAAGATAGACGTTAGAACTTAAGTGTTTCATCAATTGTTATTTTATAAGTTTCTTTGGGATTGATGAATGCTTATGCAGTTAGTGTTTCCCTTCATCCAATTCTAGCCCTTATTTTATTTTGTTTTGTCAAAAGTCCTTTTAATTGAGGCACTGAAGAACCTGTAGGAATGGGTTATCCTTGCCGTCCAACAATCGCCTAACTCCATCTAGAGGCCGATTTGTTGATTTGGTCGCATTCAAGAATAGTTTGGCTATCCATTCAATATTTTGGGTCGAAACAAACCCTAGCACGCACCTAAAAGAAAAATAGCCAAACACAGGGTCTCAGGGGAGAAGTGTACGGTGGTGTGGTAGCGGGAAATATGGTAGCTGTGAGTGAGGTGGTGGCGGGAAATTGTAGAAGATAAAGAGACATGGGAAGGAGAGAGAGAAATTGCAGAAGACGGGGGAAGAAGAGAGAAATAATAATAATAATCAAAAATAAAAAATAATTGCCAAAAAAGAATTGAGGACAATGTAGACCTAAGGGTATTTCAGTTCATATCTAGTGAGCATACACGACAAAATAGGGAGATCAAAAGAATAAGTCTCAAACGCTTTCTTAGTGTATAATAATTTAAAATTTGACAAAATCACAATGTTAATGTAGGAGTAGGGATGGCAATTTACCCCAACCCGGTGGGGATGAACCGCTCCGCCCCTGCCCCGTTTAAAGCAAATTTGGAGATCCGTTTATTTAAATGAGGTGGGGATGGGGGTTGAGAAAAAAACCGGCCAGATTCGGGGTGAGGGCGGGGGAGGGGTACCCCCGCCCTACATACGGAGTTACTCCTATTAGCCCCTACCATGTTATTGTACTTACCAATTTAACATATTTTATATTTATATATATATATATATATATATATCATATTATATTATATATACACTTCTAAATAAACCTTACTCATTTATCTCTTCTAAAGCGGTAGTCGAGAGATGAGAGACTGAGAAGTGAGAAAGAAGCTATGAGTGACGCGACGAAATGTCCTATGGCCTCCTTCAAACCTTCACCATCAGATCTTCTCTCTCTTCTTCTCTGGCCACAGATCTCCACAGCCTTAGCCGAGCGATGAAGCGAATTCCTTCACCGTCTTCAGATTTTCTCTCTCTTCTTCTTCGGCCACAGATCTCCACAGCCTTAGCAGAGCAATGAAGCGAATCGACACTTCTCAGTCCCTCACCATCATGCGACTTCCTTTAGTCCTTCACCATATTCTCTCTCTTCTTTTCCGGCCACATATCTCCACAGCCTTAGCAGAGCAATGAAGCGAATCGACACTTCTCAGTCCCTCACCATTATGCGACTTCCTTTAGTCCTTCACCATATTCTCTCTCTTCTTTTCCGGCCACATATCTCCAATCAATGCTAAGACCCTAGTCATATATATATATATATATATATGTATATATATATATGTATATAAAAGTAACAAGTTCTACCTTTTCATAGTTGGGTTTTGTTTTCACAGTTTGATTTGATCATCTAGTTTTTACTTTGATTCTCTTTCACGGTTTGATTTTGTAATAATAAAAATTCGAAAAAAAACCCTCAAATTTAATCGGGGGTAGGGCAGTGGTGGGGCGGGGGCGGGGCAAGCGGGAATGGGGCAAGGAGGTTAATTATGGAAATTAAGGGTGAAAAAATAATCAATTATAGAGCGATTTTAAGGGTGCCAAATTTAAACGGGGACAGAGATGGAGAAACTCTTTGCAACCTACCCCGTTGCCATCACTAAGTAGGAGTAATCTGATGAGACATTAATGCGCAGCTAATGGTTGGTGTAGGAGTTAAAGCGCTGTTTTCTAACAGCCTTGCACAACTCATAAATTTTTTTTTTTTTTTAAGGTTGCTGCATCCTATAGATAGAACTCATCATTAGATACAATCATCAACTTCACAAACACAAAAAAAACACACACGCACAGAGACACTCTGGAACAAAAAGGGTGAGACAGAGAGATGGAGAGTGAAAATGAATGTAGTGAATCAGCTCGAGCTTCACGTAGTTATGTTCCCATTTTTGGCATTTGGTCACATAAATCCATTTGTGCAACTATCCAACAAGCTCTCCTCTCATGGTGTCCGGGTCTCTTTCTTCTCTGCCCCCGGCAATATCGACCGGATCAAGACCACCCTCAACCTCACTCCCACCACCCAAATCATCCCTCTCACAATCCCACCGGTTGACGGCCTCCCTCCGGGCCTCGACAGCACTGCCGACACGACACCCTTAACCTCTGAACTCCTCAAGATTGCTTTGGACCAAATGCAACCCCAAATCAAGATCCTCTTGTCCGAACTCACACCCCATTTTGTCTTCTACGACTTTGGACAACAATGGCTTCCACCATTAGCCTCTCAACTCGGCATCAAAACCATCTTCTTCTCCATATTCGGCGCTCTCTGCACCGCCTTTGTTACCATCCCCGGAAGGCTAAGTGATCATGATCAGCTCAAAACCAGCCCTACTCTTGAAGAAATGAAGAGACCTCCACCAGGGTTCCCTCAAACCTCAGTCACCTCACTGAGAACCTTTGAAGCTCGAGACTTCCTCTATGTTTTCAAGAGCTTCCATGGTGGTTCTTCGGTATATGATCGAGTCCTCACATGCCTCAAAGGGTGCGATGCCATACTTGTCAAGTCATGCCGTGAAATGGAAGCACCTTACATCGATTTCGTGACCACCCAATTCGATAAGCCCGTCCTTTTGGCCGGTCCGGTCATCCCCGAGCCACCCACCGGCATGCTCGAGGAGAGATGGGATAAGTGGTTGGGTCAGTTTCCGGCGAAGTCGGTGGTTTTCTGTTCATTTGGAAGTGAAGCATTCCTCAAAGATGATCAGATAAGAGAGCTGGTTTTAGGGTTGGAACTCACAGGTCTACCGTTCTTTATGGTTTTGAAGTTTCCGGCCGACGTCGACGGCAGTGCGGAGTTGGACAGTGCACTGCCTGAAGGGTTTTTGGAGAGGGTGAAGGATAGAGGTGTAGTTTATGCAGGGTGGGTGCAGCAACAGCACATCCTGGCGCACGTTAGCGTGGGCTGCTGCTTGTGCCATGCAGGGCGCAGCTCAGTGATAGAAACCCTAGTAAATGATTGTCAATTGGTAATGTTGACTAATAAGGGGGACCAGTTCTTGAACTCTAAGCTTGTGGCTGGGGACTTGAAAGCTGGGTTGGAGGTAAATAGGAGGGATGAAGATGGGTATTTCTGTAAAGAGGATATTTGCATGCCATTGAGACAGTTGATGGTGGAGGTTGACAAAGAACCAGGAAAATCTGTTAGGGCTAATCAGGAAAAATGGAAAATGTTTCTTTTGAACAAGGAGATTCAGAATAAGTTTGTCACAGATTTGGTTAAGGGCATGAAAACCATGGACGGTATGTACAACATTTGATTACGAGACACGACAACTATTTGCACAAACACAATTCTCGGATTTGTGAGTCTACTGTAGGACCCACAAGAATTAAAAAATGTACTGTTTCATATTTTTCTTCATATTATTTACATGTACTCTATTCTAGTAGTGGTTTTATGTGATTCCCCATGTACTCTATTCTAGTACTATATTTGCCATGGTTTATGGTTTTATGTGATTCCTCATTGAAAAACAAGCAACCCTTTGTATTTCAGTGTGGGCTTGGCATTGTGTTTGTTGGGCGGCGGACGCCTACTTGCACAGACAAACTTTATCACGGCATCAGAATCCAACCAAATCTTCTTCTTTGTTTTTTTAATAAAAGAAGAATAATTACAAATTTTGCAAGGACCTAAATGCCACGGACATTATATATATAAAATAAAGTCAAATTCAATTATTAAAGTGACGTCATTGTATAATTTCTCTAATTTAATAATGAAAATTATACCACCATGTTGCTGAATACACTAGTACCCTTGCATACACATTGTATATACTAGTAATTTATAGATACACTTATACCCTACTTAATAAGAAGTATGTCATCTTTAATTATAGGGTATATTACACAAAGCACCCTCAGGTTCTCATCTAGTGCGTACCAATAGAAGGTGATACCAGATATTGGTCAATTATCCATGTGGTTTCATTGACCTTACACAATGATCTTCACTTGTGAGTTGTGAGTTGTTAGTTGAGAGTAAAATCAGTTTGGGATAAAAAAAATTTGGATAGAATTAACCTTCTTATTTTGAGAAGACCAAATTGTCCATTCAAGTCAACTAAATTACGCCTTCACCTGGACAAAAATACCCTTCTTCCATTAGGATCACCTGTCCCACTTATTTATCATTGTCATAACCACTTGAATATCAATATAGCCATTGCCCCCCTCTCATTACCAGACGTTGCTCTCTCTCTCTACTTCAAGAATTTCTCTCTCTAATTTATTCATCTCAACAACTTCTCTCTCTAATTTATTAATCAAGGAGAAGGGCCTGTTGCTGGACAATGGCTATATTAACAGGTTAATATATAGAGACGTTACACATGCAAATACATATATATATATACAAACACGTTACACCTAAAAATACATATATCTATCTACAAATATTTGTATCAAATCAAAACCTTAACTTTCCAAGGCTAGCAGGGTTGTCTGAATTCAGCAGATGGAGCAAGAGGTGGTTTGAGAGAGACTGTGTCTCGACAGTGGTGAGTTATATATATGTATATGTGTGTATGATTGTGTTCTTGTGTGTGTATAATTGTGCGTGTATAATTGAATATAAAAATAAGAGAGGAAAGAAAGAGAAATATATGTTTATATGTGTATGTGTTCTTGTGTGTGTATTATTGTGTGAGTGTATATGCATATAAATATAAGAGAGGAAAGAGAGAGAAATATATGCATATATGTGTATGATGAGTACTGATCTCTTGCTCCTTTTAGAGTAAGAAAATTTTTCTCCACTTTTTATAGTAACCATTAGATTAAATTTAATGGTCACATCCTAAATCCACGTATAGCTTTTCTTTTAATACAAAACTACTATTACTCTTTCTAACTTCTAAATTTAATATTTACCAAGACAATTAATTATAGCAATAAAAGGTAATTACTAAAAAAATAAAATTAGAATAAATCATGTCCCACCATTAATTAGAATTTTTTTTCCATAAATTTTTTTTTAAGTGTTAGAAATTACATCCATGATACTAAAGTTGACATTGTCTGCTTGAGTGTAAAAAAGAAGTTAAAAATTACAAAACAATGAAACATCCACTAAAAAATAATAAAAAATTAAAAATTAAATCTCTATTATCTGTGATCAAATCACTACACTTCACTCATAAAAAAATTAATAGATTACAATTTAAATTATTGTATACATCCCTAAATGCATGCTATTTAAAAATTAGAAATTCAATCTATTTTTCTCTAATACTTTTGTCACAAATTCTAACTAGTTGTAAACACATCTCAATTACTCAGTTATAATAAATCGCATAACGTAATGAGCAGATTCACGACAAAATATGCTATTATTCTATAAAATTTCAGATTTTCTTATTTACTTGGTCAACTTAATGTAATCTGTGATCAAATCACTACACTTCACTCATAAAAAAATTAATAGATTACAATTTAAATTATTGTATACATCCTTAAATGCATGCTATTTAAAAATTAAAAATTCAATCTATTTTTCTCTAATACTTTGTCACAAATTCTAACTAGTTGTAAACACATCTCAATTACTCAGTTATAATAAATCGCATAATATATTTTTTCTAGTTCTACTATAATAACAATTTATAGTTCTACTATAATAACAAAAATTTATTGACGTAATGAGCAGATTCACGACAAAATATACTATTATTCTATAAAATTTCAGATTTTCTTTGTACATTAGTTGTTTTTCTTAATATTTTCTTTAATACTATTATTATTATACTATCATTATTTTTATTTTTAGTACTTACCTTATATTATTATAATTAATTATATTGACAAATATTAAATTTGGAAACTAAAAATAATGATAGTGGTTTTGTATTAAAAGGAAAGCATATAGGTGAGTTTGAAATGTGACCATTAGATTACTGTGAAAAGTGTGGAAGAATTTTTATGATTGTGTTCTTGTGTGTGTAAACGTGCATATAAAAATAAGAGAGGAAAAAAAGAGAAAGAGGAAGGGCAAACAAGTAACTTACACATACCAACTACCTTCCAGATCTTTTAATGGAACCTTTTTGTGCACTTAGGTCATATGGGTAAATTCATCTGTATCTCTAAAGCTTAACTAGTTAACTTAGACCTTCCTGACTTAGCGCCTACTTCAATATTAGTGTAGGAGATGAGAACCTCAGGTGTTCTTTCTGTAATTTACCCTTAATTATATGCCAATACCAAGGGTAGTAAATAAAATCCTATTGTTCAGCTTAAGTTTTTAGATCAAATAAAAAGAAAAGCTCTCGACCTGATACAACTTGTGTTCAGCTTAAGTTTTTAGATCAAATCAAAAGAAAAGCTCTCGACCTGATACAACTTGTATTAAAACGAGACCCAGTACAATGCGAGGTTGGAGTCTGTCCCGGGTAGGCAAAGTGGTCCGACAACAATTAGAACTTTGCCAATTCACAATGTTTTTGTTTATTGATAGACTTAACAAACACAACTTATGGTTAGGCTTAAAATATAAACAAGAAACAAAAACAATTACCAAACAGGCCCAATGCAATTTGTTGCCTGAAACTTGATATACTTGCATAAATGCAAATTAAGGGCGACTACATCAATGTAGCATGTATGATTATGATTCTTCTACCCCTTCCTCAAGTAAAGGAGGAATTAAAAAGAAAAAATTTAACTGAAAAATGAAAAAACAGAGAGATAGTTACATAATCCTCGTAGCCATTTTTTTTTTTTTTTTTTGAAAAAAACAAATGGAATAATTACAGGTAATCTCTACAAGGCCTCTCCTTATTTGATCACATGCACCAGCAACTAACTCAACCAAATTCACAGGCAATGACCCTGCTGGAATGGGGAGGACATGGCCAAAAACGATCGGTCTAAGATATTAGGCTGCAACGATGCAATGGAGAATCCTGTTGATTGCTGAACTCCAATTGTTGAATGTGGAGTCGGACTGCCATGGGGAGAGAGATGAATAAACGGTATAATAAGGTCATGGACGAAATCAACAGAACTATACACTTGAATTATTATCTGGTATGTCCTCGACTATAACATTTGCATCATAAATATCATACACGATTTTGTTATATAATGATTTTGCTTCGAGTGACTTGGACAAAAGATGAAATTCAAATGTGCGCGCAAATAAGTTTGTGCAAGCACTAGTATTATTATTATACAAGGTGTGCTATAACAGAGTTCTAAAAATGAACGGGGCAACCATATAAACCGCTTCTTTGTCTTTTTCTTTTCTTTTTTTATAAAGTAATAAACCACCTTGACCTCTAACAAAGAAGAAGAAGAAGAATGTTATGAACTGACCTGAATGATAACGACAAGGAAGAATCTACTGGTGTGGTAATTCTATTGTGATCAGGAGCAAGCAGTGACCAAAAAACTGAAAAGCAGAGAGCTAGTTAGGAGAAACAAGAATTGAAAAAAAAAAAAAAAATTCAATCTCACGAAACAAAATGCAGTGAATAAAGGTTCTTTATGTCTTTAAAAGACAAAATAAATTTAACTATTTTTTCAATTTTTTTATTTTTGGAGGGAACGGGTACCCGGTGGTAAATGAGTGATTCTATTAACTAGCTGAAAACATGTACAACATCAATTAGAGGCATTTTTAGATAATAATAACACTAGCTCTTACTTTTCCAAAAATAAATAAATAAATAATAAACACACTTGCTGCACCTTCATCCTCTAATGAAGTGTTCTCAAATCCAAGTGAGAGATACCATGTAAACGTTTGAGAGTTGCCAAGTAAAAGTTTAATTCCAACTCTCTTTTACCATTGTAGTACATTTCCTATGATATGTAGATATTTCTCTTACTGATAATCTAGGAAGCACGGATACGAGATACAACAAGATACAAATACTGGACATAACGGCGATATGACAAATCTAAAAAAAAAAAGGATAGGCAGTGATACATAAAAATATGACAAATCTAAAAAAAGGGGATAGGGCAGTAATACGTAATAATAATAATAATATATTTTAACTTTTACTTGTTTTAGTCACATTATCATGAATTAAATCATTAATTTGGAATTGAGTTAGATGCATGTTTTTATTTTCTAAAATTTATTATTATTTTTTTAGTTAACCAATAATATATTTTAAATTTTCACTGGAATCACATTCTATTACAAAATTACCATATCGTGTCCTAAAAGTGACCCAAACCTGTTGTGTTCAACCAGACAAAAATAATAATTAATTAATTAAATTTCAAGACACTTCTGGCCATGTCGGACACGTGTCCGAACTTTATCAGTTTGTCCCAAGCATGTTCGAGTGTCCAATACACCCCATGGGCACCCCTAAGAGAAGTGTCAGTGCTTCCTAGCTGGGAATTGACATGCCAAACACCAATTTAGTAAAATAAAAAGTGCAAAACCCTTTCTTTTTTTGTAACCATCAATGCTGGTAACATATATGTTCAATAATCACAATCATGATCACAAATGTGCTTCCACGTTTGAATATTTTGGAGTTGCATTTCCAACACCCTGTGTTTTCTGATAGTGTGAAAGTCACAACAAAATGTACTTACCTAAACTTCCCTTATTATTTTAAATACTAGAACAAAAACGAATGTACTAGACCAACCTTTTTAACCCGATTGTTTATATCCATTTTTAGAAAGAAAATGAAAAAAGATGAAGAGGGATGTGAACAATAATAAAAAATAAATTCAAAAAAGAAAAGTTCCAACCTTTCAACAAAAAAATAAAAAATAAAAAAACCTCTAAGCTTGTGAATTCATGAACTAACATGAGCACCCCTGATGAGAGGACTTGAGACTTTTTCACTTTCTTTTTCAGGAACAACAAGGACTATGGCAACCCTTACTTGTGTCCTTTGTCTGGATGTGAAGTCTATTATTAAAAATAGTCATAAAAAGTATGGATCTTGATCAAATTAATGGTGCATGAACAGCAACTTTTTTCTTGAGAGTAACAACTTTCAAGATTTAAAGATGCCAAGTGTGTAAACTCTTAAATTTTGAAATTCTCATGTATTATAAGCTTAAAGGAGATCTATTTTTGTCCCCTTTTGGGCAACACTCATCTAGTATACTTACCGAAAAAATAAAAAATAAAAATGCTCATCTAATATAGGAAAGCAATTACCTGACTGCTGTGGGTGATCCTGAAAACCAGAGCAAAACAGTATATCCTGCATATTGTTCAGTCTTTTAGAATATAAGAAAGAAATTTGTTTCATGATCAGGAATATAATAAAAAACACGTCACAATATATTGTATGTACAGCAGCATTTCTATATGCAGCCCTACACACTCACCTCTGCTGTACCTGTAGACACCTTATGAATCATGTCTGCAGGGAAGATTCCATATATCAGATAAAAAGTCTGTCAAAACACTAGTGCAAAGACATCTAGAGAAGGGAGGATTACCACAGAAAACCAAAAGAAAAGGGCAATCAACTAATTCTAAATCTAGAGAGCTATACTCTTCAAGCGCAGACATTATTAAAATCACAACAAAGACTGCTTTTATTTCAAAACAATCAAGAATGATTCTCAGATAACCTGATTTAATTAACGGGGAAGGGGGGCCATTACCAGTGGTGGTCCTGCCTCCCTTTCATCTTTTAGGTGTGTTGGGACATTTAATTAATAACTTATAAGCTGGTCCAAACCAATTAAAACACTCCAACTAGGAAAATTGGACACAAAGGGTGTATTTAATATTAAAAAGAAATTTCAACATGAGTTTTGATCGGACTAGATCACCTAGTGGCATTTGGTCCAGGACCATCTAATAATTTCTTCATAACCACAGTCGTCAACTAATGTCCCCATCCATGTCTTAGGAAACGTACCAATAAAATAAATTTTGAAACACCAAGACACAATTCTATTACCCAAGTTGGATACACTAGGTTTTACTGCCAGCGTCAAGCCAAGGAAACAATCATCTGGCTCCGTGCCAAAATCCCATAAGTTCAATTCAAGATTTGGCTTTGCTCCTGTAGAAATAACAATTTAGAGAAAGAAAAATGCACCACACGATGTTTCATACTGAATTATGTAAGGTGGACAGGATATCCAGCAGTATAGTCCAATATCTCACCCATGTCACTTAGCTTCAGCTGAAGTGGATCCCCAAGTGGACGAGGAACAAGCATAGGAACCTGTCAATTGGTACATGTCAGAAAATGTAATACACTATAATAAGAAAACTGAGAATGAACTCGAGATCTCATATTACATGGAAAAAGGGATGTTGTAAGCATTGATCTGCAGTTGGCCTCCTTTGTGGGTCCCATGAGCAAAGTTGCTATGCATGGTCAAGATGGAAATAATATTGAAACACATCAGAGTTTACTCTGTTAATTAGAAGCAAATCAACCTTAGGATATTAGCAAAGGAGACGAGATTGTACATATAGCACCCACCTTAATCAAATCAATAGCTTCCAAGCTAGCATTGGGAATTATATCTGAGAGATTGGCAGGCACTATCTACAGAACAAATAAAAAAAATGAAAAAGTAAATTACGAGGTGATAGGGAGAGAAATAGTAGTTGAAGCATAGGAGAATTATAGAAGCTTAGAAACCAATCACTGTCCAAATAAAAGCTCACCTCTGAATAACTAATATTGATTAATTGTGTGATGTTCCTCACTGGAGGAAAGGTAGTCCAATTTGGCGTACCAAGAACACAGCATATCTTGTACAATTGATCTGTCTCGCTGTACATGAAACAAACTAGATTTGTAAGCTGGAATAGGACAAAGCATCTATGCACTAGTTTCAGCTCAATGAATTAGGATTACTTTGATTTTTTAATTTATCTCCAGCCTAATTCAAAATTTTCAGCTGAGTGTGGTTCAAAAGAACTCAACAACTGCAGGATCTAATAAATGAATAGAAATATATGATCTCAATGAAGTCACAAAACAGTCATTTATCCATGTGAAAGTTTGTTATATAGGGCCATTTGCAAGTTACAAACATAAGTGCGTATACAAGTGGGTTAAAATAGCCTAACTAGTCAACTGAAGAAGAATTATATCCATGTTTGAAAATTGAATGAACTCTGTACTAGGGAAACAAAATCACCTTTCACCAGGAAATATGGGGCACAAAGTGAAAAGTTCAGCCAGTATTGCACCAACTGCCCACATATCTGTATATTATGTCATTTGTTAGTCATCAGTCCACAAGGAAAGCAAACAATTACTAGAATAATCTCAATCAAGTTCCAGAAGCTATTTGTAAAACAGTTTCTCGGACATAGGACAGCTATAAAAAGAAATCAATACACCAAACAGTGACTAGAACAATCTCAACAAACCATATTAATAAGCCAAAACTGAAGAATACTTTTTCAGAATAAGCTTCTCTAGCACAAATTGGGCGGATGATTAAATAATATTAGCTACTACCTTATTGGGATCTTATAACCAATTTAATGCAATGTTAGGTCATTTTTTCCAAAAATATTGAACACTTGGAACTGTCTTGGATAATATATCCATGTTCTAATGCATGACCAACACAGTCATGCAATAAATGATGAATGACCTAGGAATCTGATGGTATGGAGTAAGGGAGCACTTAAGCAGTCTCAGTTAAAAATAGGTCAACTGTTCAAAACTAAGCAAAAGGGATTAATATAGGTTATGAATTTTTCGGTTGCTTGAAAGCTAAAAAAGAAAAAAGAAAGAAAATGCCTGCTTCACAAATGGCACAAGTTCAAGACAAATAGGAAGCGTTTACACGATGTAATCTAACATGCCGACCCATTGCAAAAATTGGGATAAGAGGCAATGCGGCGGTTTCTTTAATATTTAATAAGAAATAAGAAGCTTCTGCAATTCAAAGGACATGAAATAATGCATACCAATAGCAGGAGTGTATGATGAAGATTGCAACAAGACTTCTGGCGCACGGTACCTTACACAAAGATATAATCCCAACAAATTACAAAATAAAGCTATAATAATTTAGTGAATAATCAGTCAGAAAACATGTATACAAAAAGGTTATAACAGCAGGATTGAGAACAACTAACCACCGAGTGGAAACATAATCAGTAAAAGGAGGCATAGATGACACTTCTCTAGCCAGTCCAAAGTCAGCAATTTTAATGATGTCATTTGTCACCAGCAAATTCTCTTGAAGGCAGAAAAGATGTTTGATTATATTGTTTTCAGAAAAATCTTCATTTCATAAATACATAGATAGAGATCTTATGCCACAAATTCACAAAGTAGACTACTGAAGTGAATTTAATACCAGGTTTTAAATCTCGATGAAAATATCCATTTTTATGCATGTGTGATAGTCCTTGAAGCAACTGAGACATAAAGCCTCTAATCTCTTCCTCTGGAAAATGTCTTTGCCTTTCTCTCATAATTTGGTAGAGGTTATATTCCTGAAGAAAATGAAGCCCAGAATGAAGCAGCTGTTAAGCAAATTGAAATCACACCAAGGAATCATTGATGACTTTATTTCAATATCAATATTTCAGAGCAAGACATAGAAGCCAAAGAAGAAACCATCAGGCTAAGAACAACTTTGAATAGTTTAATTTCATTTATTGCCACATAAATATTTTCCATTGAAAAATGACATAATACAGCATAATGTATGAGTTTGAATTCACATTAGTTAAAATTGACAAAAAAGCTGCATTAATGAAGTCCAAAAATATGCTACAATCTAATCGGAACTGAATATTATATGCCTACAGCATCATGTAGTAATTATTATGTGCTAAAAAAAAAAAAAAAAAAGGGAAAAAAAAAAAAGAAAAAGAAAAAAGAAAAAAGAACAAGAATAGAAAAGAAAAGAAAAGAAAAGGAAGCTTAGCAAAGAACCCAGGTTCTTTTGCACAAAAAAAACAATCTAATCACATAAGAAGCGGCTGAAAATAGGATAAAAGCTCAAATGGTACCATGTATTCAAATATGAAGAACAGCTCGTTGTGTTCCCTGACAATCTCCTTCAACTTTATGATGTTAGGATGATTCAACTTACGTAGGGACTGCAAAGAAAAAACAATTAAAAATTAAATTAATCCTGTATCAGTTAAAATACACACATACCCTTGCCACCATGGATATCATATGCTTTGTCAATATGCAGGACTTGAATATCTAACTGAGACTGGTATATAATGTTGCATTATTCTACCATCTAACCTTGACCTCTCGAAGATTCATGCATTCTTCCCAGTAATAGAACTTCCTCTTCATTTTCTTGACTGCAACCTGCAATCAATATAACCATCTTTAAATCATTGCTATACACAGTTAACAAAGCAATCGCGGGTCATTCTCCACCATGTGTACAAGTCCCAAAAACAAGTGAGTAGTGTGAATAATCACATTATGGAGATAAATGCCCCAAAAGTACCAACTTTCAAAGAAGAACAAAACAACAAAAAAACACTACTGGCAAAAGATGAAATAAAGCAAATATTATAAAGTTTCAGCCATAGAGTAACAAATACGAACCCATCACGAAGGAGGAAAACTGTGATATTGTGGCCCGAATTTGGTGCCGGGTCGCAGCTGGATGAGCCTTGTGTGTGCCCAAGTCCATCAAATTTTTTTGACCCGTTTTTTGCTCATGGGTCGTGGACCCTAATTAGTCTCTTGTAGCCCGATATATAAGGGCACTTAGGGTTTGGAGTGGTAGACAAAAGAGACTCTGATATTCGTACAGAAACAGAGAGGGGCTGAAAATTTGTAATCTCCGATTTTACACATAGTGAAAACTTTCACCGGATCCTAACCGTGGATGTTAGGCTGTTGCGGAACCATATATAAATCTGTGTTCTTTGTGTGGCGTGTTACTTTTTTGTCGTGATTATTAATTCAACTTGGGTTCGTTGCGTTTGTCATAACAAAAACAATGTGACATGAATTTATTAACTCATTGCTCTCTCTCTTGTATGCTTTATTTCAGGTACAATAAGACAGGAAGAGAAAAAACAGTAAACTGCCCTTTCTGTCTTCCAATTCAATTCAGGGCTCCTTTCATGTTTCTTACTAGATCATAAGCACATCAACACACTGTATATTAATATTATTCTCTCTGAAAATATTTTCCCTGTGATTTGACCAAAGATACGGCTTCACAAAAGCTGATCCCAAACAGCCAGGATTAAGAGTTGTTGAATGAAGTATTATTTCATTCTAATATCAATTTTTCATAATTATCACTTTCATTGCCGTTATATTACATAATGTTAGTTTTCAAATTTATTTTTGTATGTTAACATACTCATGACCTACATTGCGATCTGAAGTTCATCATCTACTGAAAGTTCTCCTAAAAGTCTTCGTAGTAAGTTGTATTAGGCTTTGTTGTGGGCACCAAACAATCACACTGGGCAACTGACCCTACACCATCCACATCATCTCCAGAAAGGTAATGTTAATTATTCAGCTCATATAATCTTCAAAATTTATTTTGAGATGCAACTATTTCTAATAACTCCCATTATGCAACCCTTAATCAGGAGAGGATCGCAAAGGAGCACTAAAAAGTTACTTGGATTAAAGGCTCAAATATGTAATTTTCCATGTAGAAAATATGAGAGTTTAGGGCAATTCAGTACCTTATACGTTTTGACCATGGGTTTTCATATTTGAAAAAAACATCTAGAATTTTAATTTTTCATGAGTGCTAAAAAGGATACAAGAACGGGCAAACATAATAACATATATCTCATGAACCCAATAAATCCATTGATCATAGAAGTACACATAATCAATGGTTTGTGAGACAGTGATGCTCAATTAGTTTCAATCATTGTTTACACCCAAAAACAGGAGGGGAAAAAAAAAAGAAAAGAAATATATAGTTTTGCATAACTGAAAAAAACTTTTACAAAGTTCTAGAACAATCACAGTCATCTGTGTGTTCACTCTATATTTAGAGATTTTCTTTAACATTTTTTTTAAAAAAAGGCCATCTGTATACAGATCCATTTGCAGACAAGAATAACCCGTTACAGAAATAAAAATTGATAATTTGCTAAGTGAAGTATCCCTTACAATCTCAGATGTTTCAATATTGATAGCCTTGTATACACTACCACAAGTTCCATCTCCAAGCTCTTCTAATATTCTATACCTGAAAATACCATGCATAATAAAACACAAATCAGAAGGCACAACTAAAAGGAAAATCATTAAGTACGAATCATAAACAAGAAACTCACCTTTCCATTATTATACTTGCAGATAGCGATAAAAAAAAAAAAAAAATCTTTCAGTGGACTTCCAACCTCCAAACAGAGGTTTCTACACTTGAAACAGAAGGTTTTTCATTTGCTTGTAGACATATATCCAGGGTAAAGTGTAGCATAAAGTACAAAATGTCATCAAAAACCCACTTCTCATTGAAGGATTGATTCAACATCAACCAAAAATTAATCAACATGCTTCACTGCAGCCTCTACAAGCTGCAATCAAATGGTATCATCTAAAAACGACCACTGAGATTCACAAAGCTTCCACTATAACTTCAGTGAGCAGAAGTTCTACTCAGTCCAACAAAACCAGCAAAAACTCATCCATTTTGTTTCCATATACTTCATATAATGCCCTTCTGTCACAAAAAATAAAAATTAAAAAATAAAATAAAATAAGACTTTAACAGAAATTCTACCAAGTCAAATCCATCCTTCAATAACATAAAATTCACCAAATTTGATATAAAAAAAATAATTAAATGAGAAAAGGTTGAAAATTTGGTTCTTGAGCTTAATTATAAATGGTTCTTCATATTCATATTTCAAATAATGGATATATAACTATAATGCCAAAAAATAAAAAATAAAAAACAAAAAAATAAAATAACATATACAGAGATCATAATTTGAAGAAAAATTTAACCCGGTTATCTTTTAACACGACAACAATAAACCTGCAATTGGGATAGCACCAGAGGTTAAATTGTCAATATAATTTTTTACTCGGAAAGATTATATTTTAGAGTCTGACACTGTAATCATATTTAAAAATTAATAAGACAGGCTTTCAAATTCAAGATTTAATAAATATAATGGGTCTATAAATTCCCCAATTTTTATTTTTTTTATTTGGAAAAAAGAAGAAGAGAGAGAGATTGAAAATTTTGAATCCGAAACAGAATCTAAACTGGTCGGCGAACAAGAGTCTGAAAGAGAGAATTTTAAACCCAAACTATTACTGCAAACAATCGAATGATCGTGTTCTTGAAATTTGTCAGCATCAATCAAGAGTTGTAATTGAAAGGTAAAAAAACACAAAATCAAATAAATTGTGATCAACAGTCTAGAGAAAAGCAATTAAGAAACACACACCCAACACTGACAAAAATAAATAAATAATAATAATCAGAAATTGAAATAAAAACATACTCAGAATGCAAATCGAAATCCAGAACTTGTTAATCAAATAGTACAATTTGAAACCCTAAAAAATCAGACTTCATGGATGTATATACATATATGAGATTGTACCAATTGAAAAGGAATGAACTCACCACCATTCCAACAAAGATAATATCGAATAAATAGAGAGAGAAGAAAAAAAAAAATGGATTTGTAGGGAGGGACGAATATTCGGATCAGCTATTAAGAAAGAGAGATGCCGTTGAAAACAAGAGAGAGAGTGTGTTTTAGAGAGAGAAGAAGATTGCTGGTATTGCATATAACAGCGAAACCCGCGGAAGAAGCAAGGAGAAAACACCAAGAAATACAGAAACAAAAATTTAATAATAATAATAAAAAAAAATATAATATAATATTTTATTTATTTTTTAAATAAGGATTTACGTGGTGAGGAACCGATTCTTTAGCTAAATTACTTATATGTCCCTTAACCAACTCTAATACCACCGCGTATTTTCTTTTTATATGGCAATATCACCCCTTCTTGGTGGGATGACAATTTTATAAACCCCATATAAGATATATATCATTATGAAATTTAAATGAAAATTTTAGAAAATTTATAAAGTATAATGTGGATTGGACGGGTTTGAAGGAGAGGGAACCCAAAAAAAAAAAAAGAAGAAGGGTATTAAAAAGGCTTTCTCATCTTTATTTATATAGGATTTGTTTGGGATGTGTTTTATTTGTTGGCGTTTTGGTTTTGCTGTAGGAGTGTTTTGAAAAAAAAATCGAAAGCACATCTGGGAACGTTATTTTTGTTGTGAAAATGTCAGAAACAATGGTTTTGAACCATTAACAGTTGTTAAAACAAAAAAAAATAATTTTTTGATATTTTGATTTAGGGCCATTATTACAATGTGTAAAATAAAATTAGGTCACACCAAACATATTTTTGTTACCAAAATCGACACTGTAGTAGTCAAAAAATAAAAACAGCAGGAACAAAATACATGCCAAATGGGACCATAATGAATTTACGGTAATATATATATTTTAATTTATTTACTAAAATACTTATCAACTGTATAAATTTTAATAATATATTTCTTACATGTTCTTATAAAATGGTGTTTTCAAAAAGTTATATTGAAAAATTCTGTGTCATGTTCTGAAATAGGGATAAAAGAGGAAAGAAAAATTTTATTGTCATGGAAAAAAAAATAATAATATAATGATTATACATAATCATGTTTATGTGGTAACAGTTGTTGGCATTTAAAGTGTTGTATAGTTTTGTATACACATTCATATAATCGTATGATATGTGAGAAACACGAGTTACACAACACGTAACATCATCCATGGTCACAAATCACAAGGGCTGTTCTTGTAATTTAGGAAAAAGTGGATGATTTTTTCGTCAATTCAGTGTTTGTTATTTCCACTTTGTTACGGCGCGATGCGTGTGGTGGATACGGTTGAGACCAATTACCTGAATACGCGAAGCTTGGATCCAAACGGGGTTCAGCGTGGTTGGGGGATGTTACTTGGACTCGTTAAGGTACAAAACTTCCATTCTTCCCCACTCGATTAACAGCACGTGTAACCGAGATTTGGAATCTTTCATCCTTATCTTTTGATTTTGTTTTAAGCAAAAGGTTGGATAAGTATTATAAATTGAGAATTTGGATAATTATTAATAATATCAAGTTTATCTGTTTATAATTAGTTTTTTTATTTAGGATAAATTACACTAACATTCATAGGTTTGGGTTTAAGCATTTTTTTTACAATAACACTCCTTAGTTTTGGTAAATTGAGCAAAGACACTTTAATCATGATAAAAATACATACTTGTCCTTTGACTTTTTAATTGACTCATGTGAATCATTAAATTACCTTGATAACCTTCTATTAATTTACCAAAATGACCCTCAAAAATAAAAATAAAAAAGCAAATAAAAATCAACATTTTATTATGACACTTTTAATATCTCCAACCAAGTGTGGGCGTCACACTTTTAATAAAAGCCATCATTAATTATCTCTATTATGGGTAAAAGGGTTAAAGTTGATTAGAACGTGGTATATACATGACACGAGCTACGCGGGCAAGGGCGGAGCAAGTGTGTGCCCAGTGGGAGCACGTATCCCCCTAGCCCCACCCATTATAGTATATATGTTAATTTTTTTTATATTTCTTTACATATATAGGAAATTTTGTGTCCCCCTAGAATTATTACTGATGAGCACTGAAAAGTGCGCATTTAAACCCGTTAAGCTTAAGTATTCTAGTACCTTATCTATCTTACTTTGCCGTTTTAGACTTATTACGTGTTATTTATATTTTCAGGCACTAATCCCAAAATTGAGCTAACTCAGCCAAATAAGAGCTTAATTGAAGCAATCCTGAGATAAACCAAAGGAGGGAGCAAAGTGGAGAAAGAAATGAGCAAAAAGGAATTAAAGTTGTGCAGCTAAAAAGTTCGATCGATCCAACTTAGAGTTCGATCGATCGAACATTTATGATCGATCACAGTACTTCTCGATAGATCCAACCTTGGCCTTTGCTGAAATTCCAAGTTCGATCGATCCAACATCACCTTCGATCGATCGAACCCTATTTTGTCCTATTCAAATGATTGGTCTTATCCACAGTTGTACGCCTACCAACCACTTTTGTCCTTTTCCCCATAAATATCTTCGAAATATCTCAGCCTTGTCCTTATCTGGAGGAGTTAGACCACTTCGATCGATCCAAGATGTAGTTCGATCGATCGAACCCATCTTCGATCGATCCAAGTTAAGGTTCGATCGATCGAACTTCCTCCAGCGAGAAAAAGTTAAAGTCCAGCTCATTTATTCCGTCCTGCACCCAATCATTGGAGAATATGCCTTGCACGACCACAGCTCATCATAGGGTGTATTTGACCTACCTATATAAGGAATATGATACACTTTTTGGAGAGGAGTCTAGAGTCTCTTGTCACACATTGAAAATCATCTTGGAGGCTATTCTTGGAGAGGAAGAAGGGAGAAAGCTAGAGCACCATTGGAGGAGATCTTCATCAACAAGGAGCAGCCATGGAGTTAGCCCTTGAGGGTTGGATCATCACTACCATGAGTGGCTAGACATCTTCTTGGGGCTAGAGTTAGCCCCAGGCATGCTTTCTATACTCTAATCTTGTGTATTATTGAGGGATTAGTGTTGTATGATACATCTTGATATTCATGTATATATAAATCTTGATTATTTCATGGTTTGTATGGTTTAATGCTTCCAATTGACTATTCTATTCTATCCATATGTCTATGTATGCTAGAGTAGGATATTCATGTGCTTATCTCTATATTTAGTGTTTTTGATGCATGTCTATGTGTATTGATGTTATAGATCTAGAGATTATCAAGATGATATGCTTAATGAATGCTATTTTGGTTCATTTGATGGTTTATGCCTATTCTTGATGGTTTGTGCCTCTCCCCTAGTCTAGATAGCTTTATTTTCATGCTAGTAATGTAGATTTAGTGTAGTGGTAGTATAATGTTAGATGGGAGGACAATCTACTCTTGATGTTTGATGTTCCATGCTTGTGAGTCCAAATGGCATATTCCTCTAATATTGTGTTGTATGTGGATTGTGAGCTTAATGAAGGATTAATGACTTGTTTTGATCTATTGTGCTATCCCCATGTTGTCTAGACAATATATGCTCTATTATTTAGATATATTGTGCTCTTCACATGATGTTTAGACAATACTTGCTTGATTTGTCATCCTTGCCAATTGAATCAACCTAATGCACACACACACCCTTATCATATTGCAACACATCCATTACCCTCAATTGATCACTTGTTAGTAGTATAGAAAAGTATTGCTTGGTGGTGATCTCTACACCCCAAGACCTCTCTCTCTCTTGTTTACCTCATATTATTTTATTTAGTTGAATTCAATTTAGCTTAATCAACCAACCAACCAATTGTGTGATCACTCGACCTACTAACCCTAATTACCATAGTTCACAATTCGATACACCATCAAATCCCTTGGGACGATCCCTACTCGCCCTATTTATATTTTATATAGAGAAAGGTAGTAGTGGCTTTTTATAAATGTAAAACTTGGCCACCTTCTAAACACACACAACTTTCAAGCTTTGTTGGTTGTGGCGACTCCATCAAGGAAACCAACAACAAGTTTTTGGCGCCGTTGCCGGGGATTTTAAATTGGCAACGTCGAATTGTGAAATTTAATTAGGATTAGTACTCTTTTGATCGTGTCTTTACTTTCTTTTTATTTTCTGTTTTTGATTACTTATTAAGTTTATTCTTCATTAATAAGGTGCATTGAGCAAGGAGCTAGCAAAGAACTTCCAAGCTAAGGAGCAAAGCAAAGCAAAGGAAAAATGCTTAAAATGAAGAGTTGCTAAAAATTTTTTTGCTAAGTTAAGCTTTTAAATTTGGAGTTGAAGTGCTAAAGGACTATTATGAGACCTTCTTACTTAATCTCCTTAGTTAAATCAGGGGCCCACGTGGAGGCATTTATTTGACATACATTGCATTTGAAAATTGTGGTTGTGAAGTTTAATTGCATTGTTGAGAAAGTTGCTTATTCGTGTTGCATTGTGCATGCATGGTCGTCGTTCATTGAGACCTACTCTTGTCCCTCTTGATTTGCATTTAGAATCCACTATTAGGAATCCAAGGGGAAGAGGAAGTTCACATAGAACCAATCTACCAATGGATGCTCTCAATAATGATCATGTTGAAGACCTTGGTCACATAGACCAACAAGGCATTCTTCACCCTAATGTGCAAAATGATAATATGCAAGTTCCATTAGGCATGCCTAGGCTATACATTCATCAACCTCCTCAACAACATGGCCAAATTCCAATGGGAATTCCAAGGTCAATGTATGCACCATAACCCCCCATCATTAATCAAGCTCAATATAACCAAGGTGTCCATGTTGCACCTCAAGTTGCTAATCCACCACTCGCATTGAGAGATCACTATGTGCCTAATGAGTATAATGCACCCACATGCATTCAATTGCCACCATTTAGAGCACACCATTATGAGATTAAAGCACAAACTATCCAAATGCTACCTAACTTTCATGGACTTCCTAGTGAAGAACCTTACAAGTATTTGGATGAGTTTCTTGAAGTTTGTTCTACCGTTCGATACACGGACATGCCGGAAGAAGTTTCAAGGCTGAAACTTTTTCCATTCACCCTTAAAGATAAGGCGAAGTATTGGTTCAACAACCTTAGGCCTTTTTCTATAACTTCTTGGGCAGAAATGCAACAAGAATTTTTGGAAAAGTACTATCCGGTTTCGAAGAC